CGATCCTCCTGCTTCGGCCTCCCAAAGTGCTGGGATTACAGCCACAGCGCCTGGCCTGGAACTGATCTTTATCCTCCTCCCAGTTCCTACTATGCTCCAGAAACCTGCCAGTCTTTAATACCTTTGACTTTAAGCAGTTATTTTTTTTTTTTTTTTTTTTTTTTTTTTTTTGAGATGGCCTCACTCTTGCTCAGGCTAGAGTGCATTCCTGTGCTCCATTTATGGCTCACTGCAGCCTTGATCTCCCAGGCACAGGTAATCCTCCCACCTCAGCTCCGAAGTAGCAGGGACCACAGGTGTGCACCACCACACCTAGCTAATATTTTTTATGATTTTTGTAGAGACAGGGTCTCGCTATGTTGCCCAGGCTGGTCTTGAACTCCTGGTGGCCTCAAGTGATCCATCTCGGCCTCCCAAAGTGCTGGGATTACAGGCGGGAGCCACCAAGCCTGGTCAACAGTCACTTTTATTCTCACTTCACTGGAGAGGAAGGCTCAGAGGCTAGTAAGTGGCCCAGGAGCATGCTGGCAGTGATAAAACCTGCTGGAGTGACATTTTCCCACTGGCTCTCAATCCCAGATATATATTAAGAGTCAGAGGGAAAACTTTTTAAAAATAGCAATGCATGAACCTCACCCGGACCAATTAAACAGAATCACCGGAGACGGGTAGCTTTAAAAAAGATCTCCAGAAGGCCGAGCGCCTGTTATCCTAGCCCTTTGCGAGGCCAAAGTGGGTGGATCACTTGAGGTCAGGAGTTTGAGACCAGCCTGTCCAAAATGGCGAAACCCTGTCGACTAAAAAAGTACAAAGTTACCCGGGTGTGGTGGGGTGTGGTGACATACACCTGTAATCCCAGCTACTTGGGAGGCAGAGGCAGGAGAATTGCTTAACTCGGGAGGCAGAGGTTGCAGTGAGCCAAGATGGCACAATTGCACTCCAGTCTGGGCAACAAGAGCAAAACTCCATCTCAAAAAAAAAAAAACAAAAGATTTCCAGATGACCAGTGTGTAGCCTGGGCCAAGAGTCTCTGCTTTAGACCAGAGTTGCTCAGACTTTAATGTATGTGCAAGTCATTGAGGGTCGAGTTAAAATGCCGATGGATTCAGTGGCTCTGGGGTGGGGCCGGAGGCTGCATTGCTAACAAGCCTCCAGGTGGTGCCACTCTGCTCACTGCAGACTTGGTAGGCAGTGTGGTCACTTGGTCAATTGCTATTTAAGACTCACTAGTGGCCGCAAGTGGTGGTTCACACCTGTAATCCTAGGACTTTGGGAGGCTGAGGCAGGCAGATTGCCTGAGCTCAGGAGTTTGAGACCACCCTGGGGTGAAACCCCATCTCTACTAAAATACAAAAAATTAGCCAGGCTTGGTGGCATGTGCCTGTAATTCCAGCTACTCGGGAGGCTGAGGCATGAGAATTGCTTGAACCTGGGAGTTCAAGGTGGACGTTGCAGTGAGCCAAGATTGTGTCACTTCACTCCGGCCTGGGCGACAGAGTGAGACTGTCTCCAAAAAACAAAAAACTCAGTATATCAGCTACTCACAGTTGACCCTGAAGATCTCTGGGAAGTAGTGACTCATGACTCGTTTATTAAGTTTTGCTGTAGCAGAAGTTTACTTTTGAGCCAAGAGTCTGTGACCCGGTCTCCCTCCCCCCCGCCTTTTTTTTTTTCTTTCTTTCTTTCTTTAAAGAGATGGGGCCTTGCTATGTTGCCCAAACTGGTCTTGAACTCCTGGCCTCAAGCTATCCTCGCACCCTCGGCCTCCCAAAGTGTTGGGATGACAGGTGTGAGCCACCTTTCTCAGGCAAAAGCCCCTCTTTTAACTAGACAATGAACCTGGTTTCTGCTTTGGACAGGCTATTTAGTTCCTGTCCATTTACCCTCATGGTGGGAGAGACACCGGTGGGATTTGGGGTGAAAGCTGGCTGTGGTTCTTGCAGGAGCCTCATGACCCCTGAGGGAGGTGTGATCAGGCAAGACTGGGCATCTATACTGAGAGCCGACTAGGGCAGGTCTCAGAAGCAGGGACTGAAGGAAGATGGGTGGATGAGTGGATCTGGGGAGCAGGGACCAAGCCTGAGGGCTGGGCAGAGCTTTCCAAAGGTCAACACAATCCTTGCTATTGTCTTTTGAGGGCCCTGATCTATTTTAAGTAAAATGCTCTAACTGCGCATGTCATCTGGAAGGAAACCACAAAAACCTCAATCTGAGACTTGTCACCAACATGCTGCCTGAGTCAAAGGGTTTCCCTGGCTCACCTCCATGAATGGCGAGGGTAGAAGGCAAGACCTGTCCTGGGTGAACCTGGCGGGTGGTCTAGGCGGAAGGCCCAGGTTTAGGGCATGGCAGGTGGGTGGTCAGGGAGGTGAGGTGGGGTCCTGGTGCTGATGCAGGGGCAGTTGCTGAGGGCTTGGCCTCAGAACAAGCCAGGAGTCCAGCCGTGAGGATGACTCTTGCTGAGTCACTGAGCCGGGCGAGGCGTTCAGCCCACCTGATTGGGTCCAGCTGGGGCAGCAGATGGTGGAGAGGCCTCAGCTGTGGGGGCCGTGGTGGGGATCATCCATCGATGAGCCAATGGAGGGCGTTCCCAGAGCCTGCTTCCAACCTTGCACAGCTTTCTAGAGTTCAAATCTTCCTGGGGGGCCTCAGAGCCCTGTCCATACCTCCGCTTACAGCCCCAGCCCTTCCTCTTCTCCCATCTGGTTTCCTGGCCAGGTTTCGGCCCTGCAGAGAACCCTCCAAGGGAGCAGTGGAAAAAGCTTCACCTGGCAGTGAAAGCCCTACTTGCTGTTCCATCCCTGCAGCTGGGGTGAAACAAGACTTGCCACTGACCAGTGAATAACTGAGGCTTAAACCAGCATGCCAGGTCAGGCAGGGAGCCCCCGGCACTGGTTATATTCCCCAGATCCCTCACTGGATAGGAAAGTTGGGCCTCAGGCACTCTTCCTCCTCTGCAGTCAGAGTGCAGATTAAGAGCCAGGCTCTGTTCTGAGTGCTTTATGTGCTAACTCGGTTGATGATGATATCCATTCTCATTTTGTAGATGAGGAAACAGGCACAGGGTGGTCAAGGGACTTGTTCAAATCACTGATCCCATAAGGTTGAGAACCAGTAGATGAGGAAACAGGCACAGGGTGGTCAAGGGACTTGTTCAAATCACTGATCCCATAAGGTTGAGAACCAAGATCCAGGCATCCTGGCTGGGCGTGGTGGCTCCACCTGTAATCCCAGTGCTTTGGGAAGCTAAGGCTGGATGATTGCTTAAGGCCGGGATTTTGAGACCAGCTTGGACAACAGAGATCTTATACCCACAAAAAGTTAAAAATTAGCTAGGCGTGGCGGTACGTACCTACAGTCCCAGCTACTTGAAAGCCCTACTCTCCGTCCATCCCTCGCAGCGGGTGAAACAACGACTTGCCCCTGACCAGTGGAATAACTCGAGCTTAAACCCAGCATAGCCAGGCACAGGGAGCCCCCGCGCACTGTATATCCCCAGATTCCCTCACCCTGGACAGGAAAGTGGCCTCAGGCACCTTCCCTCCTCTGCAGTCCAAGCAATAAGAGCCAGGCTCTGTTCCTAGTGCTTCATGTCTTCAACACGGGATGATGAGATCCATTCGTCTCAATTTGTACAATGAGTAACACAGGCACAGGTGTCAAGGACATGTCAAATCACTGATCCCATTAAGGTGAGAACCAAGATCCAGGCATCCTGGCTGGGCGTGGTGCTCCACCTTAATCCCAGGCTTGGAACTAACGGCTGATGATGCTTAAGGCACCGAGATTGAACCACCTGACCACACAAGACTTATACCCCACAAAAAGTTAAAATACAGGCGCGACACCGTACCTCATCCCCACACCCACCTCACACAGAGGCTGAGATGGGGACGATCCCTTACTAGGATTCAAGCTGCACAGTGCGACTATATCACTGCACTCCAGCCTGGGCAACAAATAAGACTTACCTCAAAAAAAAGAAAAAAAAAAAAAATGGGTGGCGACGCAGTGGGCCACGCCTGTAAGCCCAGCAACTGTGGAGACCAAGCCCAGTGATCACACATCAAGAGAATTGAAGACCATCCCTGGTCAACATTCGTACCAACCCATGTCATCTACTAAAAAAAAAAAAATACAAAAAGGAGCTGTCATGGGTAAGGGGCACCTGAATTCCCAACACCGGAGGCTGAGGCAGAGCAACAAGTGCTGAACCCTGGGAGGGGTCAGAGGTCGCAGTAGCTGTTGATATTTGCGCACTGAGCACTCATCTGGTGACAGAGAACTCTGTC